ATGTGATGGCCATACAAATAATAGGGTTGTCTGTGGTTTCAGAAATTGTTGTGGATGTATGGGCTATGTACAGAAAAAAAAGGGACGAAATCGTGCCTTTTGGGGTACAACAGCTTGTCACTGGAGCAGTACCCTTAAAAGGACATATTTGTTCACTTTTTACCCCTAATAGGTAGGCCTACAAATTAGTACCTTAAGGGTACGAAATACTACTCTAATGGCACATTTCCACTGCAGGGTACGGCACGGTACGGCTCGGTACGGTTCACTTTTGGGGGGTTTTTGCCGAGCCGAACCGTGCCGTGAACCCGGCCTGAAATTGCGTCCCAGTCCGGCCCTGGTCCAGCTTCATGCTGAACGTGCAGAACTAATGGCCACATCTCAAGCACATTTTCACGGGTTCATGAACCAACTGGTGAAAAATACCAGTAAATAGAAGACAAATTAGCTAGCTTTTGAATATATATTTGTAATATATCAAGCAGCAACTAACAAAGAAAAAAATAATTTTCAAAAAGCGTTAGAAAGTTTTAATTCATGGGTCATAAGACCTGCAGAGGAAGCTCTGCCCACTGGTGCAACAGAGCTGTGGTCTGAGGTCACACAAGAGGTTATATCATATTGCCTCCATCTTGTCACTTCTTCCCTCACAAAATTATCAGCACCTGGACACAGACAGAGCCAAAATATACAATTTTTTAATGTCTATTTTTATTTAACTGGTTATGCATTTACTTAGATCTTATTCGGAATTCGGAAACATCATTTATAAAGATGTTTACATTTAGTCATTTAGCAGACGCTTTTCACCAAAGAGACTTACAAATGAGGACAACAGAAGCAATCAAACCAACATTACCATCATTTGTCATTGCATTAGAGTGGCCCAAAGTGTTACATTTAAATGGCACTCTAAATGTACACACTTCATTGCATTAAACAAATACACCAAGCAGCATCTGCCAACAAATGAGGTTTGACCTTTTCTTTTTTTGGTCTTAAAAAAAAAGTCATTAAGTGTATTTACATGTACAATACACTGATAATTATCAAATATCACTAAGTAAATAAGTTAAAATAAAAATAAATGAAATGGCCTTTTCTCTGTTTCGACATCAAAACATAAACAGACTTTGAAAAAACATGAGAACACAGGAGTTTACATGCAGAGCGAAAGTTGGAGTAATAGTGAAAAACCATTGTGTGCCAATCACTTTTTCATTCCAATTAAGAGTTTAAAGAACACTGTGTAATACTCTTTTTCTCTGTTCTGTTCTCAGTGTGTGTTTGTGTAGGTGTCTTTGTAAGAGTGCAAGGGCCTGGTACACAGCTGGAAGAATTCCCAGAGCTAAAGTCAGAGAATCAAGAGCTTAAAAATCACCAGAACTCACGCAGGGTCCAATTTATTCATTCATTCATTCTGCCATGTAAAAAAACTGCAGGAGAGGCTGATGAAAACACTTGCTTAAGACTCATCATGAAGTAACAAACCCAACTTCTCCTTTAAGACAAACTGAATAGTAGAACTTCCCCTTTAAGATATGGGCCACAACATTAGCTGGTTGAGTGTTGAAATGATGATTGCACACACATCTGATTATTAACAAAGATATGGAAAGCTCACTCACACCTCACATATGGCCACACATACACACTCATATACAAACATAAGCACAACGCACAAGCACACAATGAGCAAGAGAACCCTATAATTTTGTCCACTGTATATTTATAATCAGAGATTAACAAGCAAGAAGAACTTCTTCTCTAGTGAACAGTGTTTAAATATCATTTAAATACATACCCAACCACACACACACACACACACTTATAGACATAAGTAGTACACATTCATGCACAAATATAGCCAGACTGGACACACACACTGTAATAAGCAAACAGATGCACACAGCAAAATTATGAGACATTATTAAAACATGTTCAACAGAAAATAAACTAACCAAATAGATTTTTATTTTACATTTGATGCTTTGATAGGAGCAGATAAAAGCATCTATATGCGTGTGAGAGTGTGATACGAGTGTATGTGAGTCACCATGACTAGTGTGGTTGTACGCTTTGTTGATCTATATCTCCATCTAATCACACTGAAAAGCTGCAGTCAAGATCTGATCCAAACCAGAACCAAAACCAGCATAAGCAAGACCCAGATCTCTCCGAACCAAGCTTCTGATTAAATAAAGCTGTACCTTAAAACAACCCCCTTTCGCTCTCTCTCTCTCTTTGTGTGTGTGTGTGTGTGTGTGTGTGTGTGTGTGCTATTTTGGCTACTGCAGATAACTGCATGACAAGCAGAAAAAACCGAGAAGAGGTGTCTCTTCGAAGGAAGTGTATTTTTTCTTTTTAGAAGGTGTAACTGAAGTTTCTTTCTCTCTCTTTCTTTCTTTCAAACACACTCTGTGAGAATCAGGCCTGAAACACTGCTGTTGTGACACGCTCTCAGCCGCAGTGTGGAGGGTGGAGGCTGCTGCTGAGCGGTCATAGTTGTGAGTCATGATCACTGAACACAAGCTTTACTTTGTGAATTCAGAAAAAAAAGTAAATCATGTCCAATTCCATACATATTCTGATCCAGTTTCATAGATATAAAATTGGAGGGTATGAGTCATGCCGGATACATGTTTGAATAGTCGTTTCTCCATCTGCTGTTTTTCTTAGCATCCGTTTTTTTTTTTTTGTGCTGTAAATCTTACAATATGAATGTAACTGCACATTAACATAATTGTCAACCTCAATAGCATGCATGCCTTCAATAACATGCACTACACACTCTTTCCCTTTCCAGAACTGCATTATCATAATTACCATCCTTTGCACTCTCATTATGGTCCTCTTCTTTTTCCTTGTCTTCCAATGAAAATTTTATGAACAACAATGAAAAAAAAAAAATCAATCAATGAGCAGATGAACCAGTAAGATCTTCATGTACACAGTAGCTAGCGCTATCACTTAATAAATTCATGTAACCTTGGAAGGGATGTCAAATGTGTTGGCTCTTTCTACACAGGACCTTACAGGAACCTCCTCATCAACACAAGACAGTAGCGGCTACACCAACTAATGAATTAGTAGTTCGGGCACTGTTAAAGGAGAGTTGCTCAACAAACGTTCTTAAAATATATTTTAAACACTGTATAATTCCTGTTTACACAGCACAGTCACTATGTGCACTGTTCATTTTAGACTTGGATGTCATGTCAGTTAAGCTTATCCTCTACAGAGGAAAATGAGGAAAGTTTCAGCATGTCTCTATGTCATTATCTTTATATGGTAAGTTACATGTAACACATATAATTGGAATCATGCAAATGTAAACTTAAAGCGCTTCGTCAACCCCCGAGACCCATGAAATCTGCTAAATGAAATTACAGGCTTCACTGTTCTTGGCACTGTTTTTGTCATTTAAGGCAGCATGAGTCTGGCAATGGAAATATGTGAGATTTTCTAACCCGCATCGTCTCGTGAGACAGACTCACAAGCTGGTCGATGGAACACCGATGCTGCATGCTGTGCCGTGACTCATCTAACATGAGGAAAACATTGAGGAATACAAAACATTTGCTTTAATCATAGACAAAATGAGCGGAAATTTTTGTCCATAATTCATGTGAACCTGCAAATCCACTTTAAAGCTTTTGTGCAACTGTGTTTGAATATCTAGTACATGCTAGTCATTTAGCATACACTTAAAGTAACTTGCAGTATACACATATTACTGGAGCAACCTCGAGTTAATTGTCTTTCTCAAGGACACATGAAGGACTCATGACCTGTTTTTACTCAACAGTCAATTTGGCTTCTCTTTTAAAACAGCATTTATTCCATTGTAAATTCCAAATAGAGCTCACTTAAAAAATTTTTTTTTAAAAACCTTAAGGATTATCAGAAAGGATGTTGGTTCATAAAACAGCTGATCAGCTGTTTCCTCACAAAGGTCACTGGACTAAACTCTGCTTGAAGAATGTCTTTCACTGACATCCATTAAAAAAAAGCCATCCCGTTCTCACCCCCAACATAGCCATGGCATACTAAGTGAAGGTGATGATACACGGGACAACTTTTTTGAGCAGTGTTTCTTGGGCACTTTCTCATTGAGAATTGGATACTTTAGATTAGTTGTGGGCTCTGTGTCTCAACTGGTTGCCCGCTGACAGCAATACTGCCCTGCAACATTGCTCAAAAAGTTTCCCCGTGTATCGTCACCTTGATAGGAC